AGTTAGTCACTTCCAGGGGTTAACTACTTAGGCATCACCTGTGAGACGAACGTGATCCTTTCTATTGAAGGGGCGTGATGCTGTTTTGTAGTTTTCACCTCTATAAGACCCTCTGATACATCAGACCTGAGATATAGATCACCCACGAACCAGATCCAAAAGACATGCTTTTATTTGGGCAGGAGGGATAGGTAGAGTAGTCAGACAGCACTAAGGCTCCACGAGCCGTCTGCGTTCCACTCTGGAACACTGCGGCCGCGGACGTAACAGGGCGCCTCCTCCCCCTGGGGGCGTACTGTTATGCATTCCAGGGTGGAACGCGGAAGTGACGTCACGCCGCGAGGTTCCTCTTCCGCATTCCACCAGTATTTAAGAGGCCTCTGAACCCATGGACGGCATTCCACTATTGGGTTCATGGCCCAGCACCCCAGGAGACACTCCACACAGGCCATTACCCGGACCTCATTCCACCAACTTCAGACAGCATTCCTAGGAGTGCTAAGGATCATCAGAGCCACGGGGTTCAATCCCCACAACCGCAAGTAATATGTTATAGCTTTGCTGTTTTACTCTGTTGGAGTCCCTACACTGCCACATAGTGGAGCCTTTCCATATCATCTCCATATTATGCCTATGCTCAGTAACTAACAGTGTATAGTAGGATTGCCGCTGCTGAATTTGTTCTCTAACCTTAAAGACTGCCTTATGAGTTCACGCTCCCTCATTGCCATCCCTTATACATTCTAATATTAGGAATATGGATTAATATTCCTCAAATAACTCCACTTTATCCTTTTGTTTACTCTGTGGTATATGATGTCTAAATCCCAAACTCTCCGTTTGTGATTGAGAGAGTCGCCTGGGATTATAGCCTGACAACCGCAGTGCAACACCTAACAGGTTATAACCGCAGCTGAGATCCACCGCACCTCTCTGTAGTCGGGCACATGACAGGATTTGGCAGGGAATTTAACTTGTCCGACTACCTAACAATTCTTCATTAAGCCCTCCTTACTAGTTACCTTTGAACATTCTCTGCCCAGTTTATGATGACAAATGTTTATTAACTGTTGTTCTCTGAGTAGCATTAGCCTGCCCTCATTCATGGTCACTTCTGTGATTCACTTATAAACATGTATATTTTTCTTCCTAGAACCAGATGAAGTTTGTGTTTATGGGGGCTCAGTGTATAAGGTAAGTTATTTAACTAAAAGTGTTTTTGAGTAAAAAAAACTGATGTCATATGATATCAAATAGGAGTGTAACATGATAGAATGGTTGCACTGAAATGTTAAAGCAGAACTCTAGGCTTCTCTCCCTCTCGAGTCCTCTCTACCCTCCTTGAAAGTTCTATCATGTGAAAAAATCTGTCCAAACCTTAATTTCAGCTCATGAGTAGGGTGGTACCACAGATTCTTTCTTTTTTTGCCCGGCAGAGATGGTTTGTGATATTTACTGGAGGACGTAAGGAATGTAATGATGTGTGAGTTTTGTTTAGTGCCGCAGTACTGTGCGCTCAGACTGATTTGATGATGCATTCCTAGGGGGTGTGTCTATGGTAACCTGGGCTCACAGAAAGTGGAAACATGTTGCTGGCTGTCATACAACCCAGGAGTGGGTGGGGCTAGTGGTGAAGGAACACTTGAAGGGTAACATTAGAGCGTGAAGAGGATGAGAAGTGCTAAAAAAGTGATTTATTTAAAACAGATGGGGGGATAGGATTAAACAAATGTTCTGCTTCAATGTGTATCTAAATCTATAATTTTTTGCAGATTTAGATAGAAAGGTTCAAATTCTGTATGGTTCTTTTTTTGGTCTACTGCATTCACTTGGGGAGTAAATTTGAAGGGAATCCAATTTAAGCTGTCACAGGAACAAGTGTTCCTTTTGAAAGATTTTCCTTTGACTCCAGCTCTGGTGACAACTGCGCAGTGCACGGATCTCCCCAGTGAGAACACAGACAGCATTAAAAACCTAACGGGTTTTTTAATACTTCCTTGCTCTAACTATTACTATAAAAACATTCGTTTTTGGCTTGAGTCACACTTTAAGTAAACATACCTGGACAGAAGACTAGGAGAAAACTTAGGTGACTTGTCTTATATAGTGCAATGCCAGGGGTTATCTTTCTAATATTGCATTTACCACCCAATGACAACCTGTGTAATAGAGGTGCATCATATTCAGGCCTTACTAGCTGCATACTTGTTCTATTTGATCAACACCCTAGATAATTTTACCAATATCAGTATATTATTTTGAATATTCAAAAGCACATCATCAGAGGCAGCGTCCATAATTCTATCCTCAAAGATTCCATTTAAAAACTAATATTAAAGTGACATTAAACCCTCAGATTTTTTAACATAAAAAAATACTGTAATGTGTGCCTTACTGTAATCCATGGTTGTTTCCCTTCTCTTTGATGCTCTTCCTTTTAAATATGTATCTGTTCTCATGCTTGGAGAGAACTAACCTTTTCAGCAGACTGCCTTATCTCACACGGTGTCTGTGTATAGGCTGTAACCTGAGCCAGCACTACAGGAAGAGGCCCTGAGCTGAAAAGGGAAGTTCTCTCCAAGCATGAGAACAGATACATATTTAAAAAGAAGAGCATCAAAGAGAAGGGAAACAACCATGGATTACAGTAAGGCACACATTACAGTATTGTTTTATGTTAAAAAATCTGAGGGTTTAATGACATTTTAAGACTAGAAGGGACCAGAGTACCTATTTACAAATTTGATTAATTTTAAAATGATTGGGTCCAGCCTAAATCTTGATTTCCTCAATGCTTTTCTAACATTCTTCAACACGGGCACACACATTTGTGTCCTAAATATATTACCTATTCATATACAGTATAATGACTCAGATTTGTTGTATTAGCAATGTATTCCTTGCTGAGACCTCTATGCCTGGCTTGTATACGCAGATATTACCACTGCAGACCAGCCTTATCAGATAGCTGAACTCAACAAATACCTTTTCTTCATCCAAGACTTTATTCTATGCAGCAGGTTACAGGACAACAGGGTACAGCAGATGAATGAATAGACAGTATTTGAAGGTCAGAGATGATAATGTTTCCAAGCACGCAAGCAGATTAATATGCGGCCATGTTACTGTCAGGCATTGTCACCCAAAACGACCACAAGATGTCAGTATAATAACCAACTATACTAAAGCCAAGGATAATGGCTTAAGGAAAATTATAATTTCACATTAATATGAATATTAACTGTGATTATGCACTGCATCATATTTTTGTAACTGTGTAACAGCACATACAGTATGTTATTAAAGTGACACTAAGCTCAGGAATTTCATTTTAAAAAAGCATATTAGTACCTCAACTATTGATAAAAATGTATTTTATTTGTGTATTCTCAAATCAACTCTGAATTCATGCTGATGCTGCCCTTCCTTTTGGAAGCTGGCTATTTTTGTTCCCCATGGTCTGTCTCTCACGTGCCCCACTCAATATGGCCGCCGCTTGAGTGGGGCAACTCAGAATAATAACGTGCTGGATTAGTGGGATCCTAGTTCAGTTTATTACTTCATTGCTGTGCTGTATGTGTATAGGCCAATGCCTTAGCTGGCGCTCGTGCAGAAAGTTTCTTGGACAAAGTCACCGGCCCAAGTGGCTCTGTCGGTGTCAGGGTACCATGCACAGGCGTCCTCACACCACATGTAGGTACCCACGCAGGATGACCAAATTAATATGCCCACACAGGATAGGGTTCTATGCACACAGTTTATTTGTTACACATCTACAAAACTACAAACCCCCTCAACCCCCACAGGTTTAGCAGTGAAGTAACAAACCCACCGTTGGGACAAACACACACCTACAGCCAGGGGGAATAGCAACAAGGAGGGGGTAACAGGCCTGCAGATATACGGCAGGCCTCAGGATACAAGAAGAGTGGTCAGGTATAAGCCGGGTCGGTGACAGGAGGGCAGCGCGGTACAGGAACAGGATTCAATGAGAGTGGTCGGGTAACAAGCCGGGTCGGTGACAGGAGGGCAGATAGGAAGCAGGGTTCAGGTAGCAGGGTTCAGGTTCCAAAGCACAGGCCAGGGGAGTCAGTCAGGTGCAGGCGATGCAATACTGAGCCAGCTTCCTGACTGCAGGGAGGGCCTAAATACCCTCCCAGGAAGCACCAGGAGATGGGATGACCAGTCACATCTGGGGCACACCCGCAGGTGAGTACTGGAGCTGCTGGCTTCCGACAGTTCCTGGCTGCTGGGCGCAGGCGAGCACAGGAACTGCAGGATCTGGCTCTAGCGCCACCTGGGGGTGCTCTGGATCCTGACAGTAGGCTAACGAAGGGGGGAGGAGCCGGTGACGTCACGGACATCGTCGTCACTAGGAGGAGTCCGGTGACGTCGATGTCCGTGACGTCACCGTATCGCCGACAAGACTCCCGGAAGCCGGCGGGGAGGTGAGTGTTTTCATTAGCGATCAAAATAATTTTAATCTTTAATTTCCACAGCCTTAGTACCAACTATTACTAGCATGATGGCAAGTAACATATGCATTATAATTCATTGAATTGTAAAATAAAATAATAATCTTTGAGAAAGTGCTAATTTCATGCAGAAATTCCACATCAAAATTATATTTATGTATGTGATTTTTTGAAGAATATTATTATGAGATAAAATAGCAAATTGAGTTAAAATAACTCATCCACCTTGGTGCATTAAGCCTAATATGACATATCACCATACCACATTGCACTGCAACAGCACATGCTACTGTAGCACACCATTACAACAAATAATGTAAATTGCACTATAATAGCAAATTCCATCAACTGCACTTGAATAATTCAGTGAAATGTAGGTGGCAAACAGGAGTAACAGCTTTGTTGGCACATGTAGCTCCTCAAATTTTGAATGGCTTTGGTTTTGTAAGTTTCTAATACTACTTTTTCTAATCTGAACAAAACAATTCAAATAAGTAATATTTGTTGTTGTGAATCTAGGTGGGATCCTCTATTCCACAGCCATCTGGAAGCTGTCAGAATTGTAAATGCACTACAACTATGAAGAATTCTGCAGAAATAACTTGTGAACCAATAGTGTGCAATACAGACTGTCAGATGGTAAGAGCACCTTCCATCTTTTTTTCTATTGCAAAACCTGGCATTAGCTGAGTCTGACAGAAACAAAAAAATAGGAGTTACTATTTTGTTTATTTTCTGGGAATACCATGATACATTTCTTAAAATTATTTGTGAACAAAGCAGTCTTTTATTGTTATGTATATAAATGTTTTTCTAATTATGTCATATGTCATATGTGCTATATACGTCTCCCTGGAGCTCTCTCAAAACTCAGAAAGTCATCCCCACATTGCACTTTGGATAAGCTGAAAGGAATGTCCTCCAACATTTGGAGAAGCCACACTTTGCATGCTGTAGGTGTCTGAGTTTTACAAGCCCCCCAGGGATACCTATCTTGAATAAATTGAATCATTGGGCACCTGGTGGTACTTATATGCATGATGACACAGGCATAGTTTAAGCTTTTCCTGGCGTTCCACTGAAACTGAATTTAAATACACATTACTTAAGTCTAATTTGAATACCAATAAAGATAGGAACTACTGCTAATAGTTAATTTTATCTTGTTTTTCCAGGGGTATAGTTTCAAAGAAATAGATGGACAGTGTTGTGGGAAGTGTGTTCAGGAATTCTGTGTTCTAAATAACACTGTACCAATTAAGGTTTGTTTTAAATACATTTTATTATGATTGGTTTAATATGAGAGCAAAATGTGTGTGATGAATTAGCTACATAGGCTACCACAATGAACACTGCAAGTTTTCATTCCCACGTCATTTTTTTTTCTGTTCTGTGAAGGTCTTCAGACTGGTAGATGTGGTGTGGTTCACAAACTAAGTTATTGTATTGAATGTATCTTATGTCAAAAATGTTAGAGTTCATAGAGGATTGATTTTAAGGACTGATATGCTACTGGTTATATCTAGGTATTTTGGGGTGAAGGTATATTTTCTACTATGTATCTGTCACAGATGGCAGAAACATAGTAGAAAACCAGAGCAGAGGGAGATGGAATGTGAGCCCAGTACAAACACAGAGGTACAGGCAGGGCCGGATTTCCCACAAGGCCAAACGAGGCCTGGCCTCGGGACAGCAGGGGGTAGAGTGGCAGCAGGGGCGAGGAATTCCCCTCTCCCGACAGCGGGACATGCAGTTCCGGGCTTCGGGCGGGTATTTGTTTTCTACATTTAGCCCTGCTTTGGGCAAGCAGGACTAAATGTACAGCGGAGAAGCAGCCACTTGTTTTGTACAAAGATCTCGGCGATGTTGCCGAGATCACTTGTATGCAGCCTGCATACAGGGGGGAGCATTGAGGAACCTGGCATTGGGGCAGCAGAGAGAGTATATCCGGCCCTGAGTACAGGGTTCACTCACCCCGACTTCATAATTATAACTTTTTACTAACTGAGGGCAATATCATACTAGATAACTTATGTTTACCATTTCCTTGCTCATTCTGCTGCTGGTGTGGTCTTACCAGCGTGACATGGCACTTAGGCTGCATTTCTAACTTTAGTTAAACTATTCTGGACGTTTGGATGTTTTTATGCATTTTGTTCCTTAAACTATTCATTCTTAATCACATATTTTCACTTCTAGCCTGGAAATCTCTGGTACCCTCCTGGAGACAACTGCACAAGTTATGGTTGTGAACCAGACACATTTATAGTTGTAAAAAGTGTCATGTCATGCCCACAGCAAAAGCCTATAAACTGTGACAAGGTACAGTATGCTAGTCTCTAATGTTCACTTTCACTCTATTTCATAATTAGGTTATCTCCTACTCTATCTGCCTTTAGGCGGTCCCTGAAGACTCCTCTACAGGGGAGCTAATCTATCACTATCACTTTCTCAAATAATTCCTCCCCACACACACATTTTTATAATATGCAGCAACAGCTGACATTGAAAAAAATGAAAGCTCAGTTGAAGTCACAGAAATAAATATTCAGTCAGATAGAAATTGTACAAAAAGCAGTTAAAGAACTCCGTGTAGAAAGAAAATTAAACCTTGCAGTGGGGCTACTACCCGCACTGCAAGGGTTTGTCTAGGGAGCTAAAATAACAAAGATATACTCACCCAAACCTCGCTCTCACATGGCTGCTATACTGATTCCTGTAAACTACACACCAGCAGTGAAATGTCCCTACATTGTTTTGGATGTTAGCAGCCAGCCAGGATTATGGTTCAGGTGAGTATATGTTTGTTATTTTAGCTCCCTTGCCATGCAAGTCTGAGTGGAAGTGTGGCATCATCATTACAGCGTAGAGCACTGAAAAAGGAGAAAATGTGTTTTTCCACTAAGAGAAAATATGCATTGTAAAGCAGTTGCCACTGAAAATCAGTTTAATATTGACGTTCACCACATTATTAATCAATGCAAATTAAACAGCCATATAACACATGTACCTTGATAAATACATAGCACTAGGTTTGACTTCTGTCTGGACTCCAATAGTCCAGGAATCAGCATTGGAAAACTGGCAGCTTTTATGCAGCTCATGGTGTCGCACAACCCTCCTTATGCTATGCCCTGTGATTGTGAAGCCTGACTGGAAACTGATGGAATGTGCCTCCTCTGCGCCCTGATGCTGTCAAAAAAAAATATTAGGAAAAGGGCTGAGTGAAACCATGAGTTGCATGGTGCCTCTGGTAATAACTGGCAATTTTCCAATGTTGATTGCTTTCTCCTCTTCCCCGTCCTCTGGAAGGTATAACCATTAGATATGCTTTAGTCATAATCACTTACTATTTATATACTTCAGACTAAAAAAAGCATTACTGATTGTGGCACTGT